TATATATACAGTTTAAGTCAGAACTATAAGCCCCCCTGTTACTTTTTTTCTTTTTTCAAATATTTCCCAAATGATGGTTAACAGAGCAAGGAAATTTTCACAGTATGTCTGATAACATTTTCTCTTCTGGAAAAAAGTCTTATTTGTTTTATTTCAACTAGATCAAAAGCCGTTTTTAATTTTTTAATAACTTTTTTTTTTCAAAATTATTAGCCCCTTTAAGCTATACTTTGTTTTTGATAGTCTACAGAAAAAAAACATCGTTATACAATAACTTGCCTAATTACCCTAACCTGCCTAGTTAACTTAATTAACCTAGTTAAGCCTTTAAATGTCACTTTAAGCTGTATAGAAGTGTCTTGAAAAATATCTAGTCAAATATTATTTACTGTCATCATGGCAAAGATAATATAAATCAGTTACTAGAAATGAGTTATTAAAACTATTATGCTTAGAAATGTGTTGAAAAAATCTTCTCTGTTAAACAGAAATTGGGGGAAAAAATAAACAGGGGGGGCTAATTCAGACTTCAACTGTATGTATGTATGTATGTATGTATGTATGTATGTATGTATGTGTGTATGCATGTATGTGTGTATGTATATATGAAATCCAGGGAACCTTGTAATTTTTTTTCCTTAGCATTATATAATACAATTTGAGATTAATGTAAATCTTTCAAAAATCATAACATTTACACTAAGTAAAAGTTTATACAATTTTGATGTAAAGTTGAAGTCAGAATTATTAGCCCCCTGTATGTTTTTTCCCCAATTTCTGTTTTACGAAAGTTTTTTTTCAACATTTCTAAACATAATAGTCTGACAGTACATTACACTAATTGAATAATTGACACTAGTATTCAGCTTAAAGAGACATTTAAAGGCTTTACTCAGCTGATTCAGTTAATTAGGCAGGTTAGGGAAATTAGGCATTATTGTTGTAACAATGCTCCGTAGACTATCAAAAATATATATATATAGCTTAAAGACACTAATAATTCTGACCCTAAATTGGTTTTAAACAAAATTAATAACTCCATTTATTCTAACTGAAATAAAACAAATCAGACTTTCTCCAGAAGAAAAAATGTTATCAGACATACTGTGAAAATGTCCTTGCTCTGTTCAACATCATTCGGGAAATATTTAAAACAGAAAAAAAAAGAAAATGGCGGCCTAATAATTCTGACTTCAACTGTATATATAAAAATCATTTGCTAAGATTAATATTTTCTTACTTTTCTGTCTTGCACTGAAGGTGATTCCTCTACAGTCTGGTCTAAGAGCAAGTGCTGAGTTCCAAGCCGGTCTGTCCATTGATATCTCTGGAGGAATGGAGTTCAGCTTGTGGTACAGAGAGTCTAAAACAAGTGTCAACAACAGGTAGGATCCTCTTTTGAAATGACATTATTGAAGACAGATTTTACCCTATTTTATACTATTTGTTTGATATAAAACAAGTCTCATGAATGTGTCTGTAAAGTTTAAGCTTAAAATACCCCACAGATAATACATTATTATTTACAACCCAACACCGGTGCTTACCAATATAAACAACACTCTTTTACAGACAACTCACTTTTAAGTAGAACTCACAACTATGCAGATCTTGATGATGAAATGCCTCAAAAAGAGACTGAAAGTCGGCATTCACAGCTAATTAAATAGGGATGATGTTTTGCATTTAGATAAAGCAGCTCTGTGCTGCTAACTGAAACAAATCCCACATGGGTAACTTAATGTCACTTCACTCAACATTACTTTGAATGCAATGTTGGATTTGATCAAATCAACTACTTGCTAACTGCGGCCAGATGTTTTTTTTTCTACACTAGGTCTTCCAAATGATAGTAAATACGATTCCAGTCCATCTTATTATAACATCATTAATCCTTCAGAGATTTGATGCTAATCCATATCTTTAGCCACAGCTGCACCTGCTTGATTGCTGTTGGTTTGTGGATGCTAGCGATGGCAACTTGGCTAAAAAGAGACAGGCGGGAAATGAGGGCAAATGGAAAGATGCTGTGCTAGGAGTAAAAGATCAGGGGTTGAGGGTAAAATTAGGTTGTGATATTGATTGTGGGAAACCAAATCCACTCAGGGAGAGATCTTAACAAAATACCTCACCAATCTGAAGACAACCGTCGTCTTTTTACCTTACTTTTAGTGCTGTTCTTTATTTCATGATGGGTATTTCTGGGTGGCATCTGGTTTTCTGCATCTGCCAGCTCTCAGGACAGGCAGGGGCAGGTGTATGGATCAGGACGGCGCTCTTTACCTTTTCTGAAAACGCACACAGAGGCGAGTAGACAAACAAAGACTCACTGACAGACAGACCACCGAATACGTAAACACTTGTTTGTGCGGGTACACAGGAGCGGGGGGAAACTGAAAGATCCTTCCGCACATGTAGTCAGACACAAGCGGGTTATGTTTAGAAACGAAATAAACCACAGCTCTCTCGGGCGCACAAGATTAGCATGCCTCCACTCAGCCCACTCATCACGGGCGGCCATGTTGGACGGATCATTTAAGGTGGAGGTTGAAAGCATGGAGCCAGACAGTCTGATGTGATATGTGAGCCCAATCACCAAAACTGACTCAGCAGAGACTCTGAGGAACAGACTAAGAGCGATAAATCACCATGCAAAATGTGCAGCTGGACAAAACGTGTAAAGATCTGACATAAAATAGCTTAAAAGATTAACCAAAATCAAAACTATGTAAAAAAGAAAACTTGGGTCAAGCAGAGTTTACTTTTAAATTTGCTGTTTTTTATTTAGTAATTTTGTTAGCATGAAATATCAGTGATAAATACAGTACATCGAAGCACTTACTAATGTTAGTTAATATTTATTATATTACATTATTTAATGTTAGTTAATTATTTATAATATTTATTTATTATTTTATAACACTTAATCATTTTATTTATTCATTTATTCATTTATTTTATTTTCGGCTTAGTGCCTTTATTAATCTGGGGTCACCACAGTGGAATGAACCGATTATCCAGCATATGTTTAATGCAGCGGATGCTTTCAAGCTGCAATGCATCACTGGGAAACATCCATACACACTCATACACTACGACCAATTTAGCTTACTCAATTCACCTATACCATGTCTTTTTACTGTGGGGGAAACCGGAGCACTCGGAGGAAACCAACGCGTACACGGGAAGAACATGCAAACTCCACACAGAAATGCCGAGTGGCCCAGCTGAGGCTAAACCAGCGACCTTCTTTAGTGTGAGGCGATTGTGCTACTCACCGTGCCACCGTGCTGCCTATATTATATTATTAAAATGTTCAATTCTGTTCATATATACATATACACACAATACAATTTGCTATTCAGTGTTATTTTATTTATTTATTTTGTATTTTTAAATAATATTAATTTTATTTTTATAATTTTAGTTTTTTTTTAATCTGGTTTATGCTTTGGTCATTTTTTTTATTTTCTATTCAGCCTAAAATTTTTATTTTGTCATTGCAATTTTAAAACTATTTTTTAGGTGTTTAGTTAGCACCAAACAACATTCTTAATTTTATTTTTAAGTTATGTTTTGCATCTAATACTTTATTTTGTTTGTTTATTTTGTCTACAGATTGTAATACAATACAACAATGTAATAAAATAACTTATTGTAATGTTTAAAAATAGAATATCTACTGCAGAATCAAATACATACACAGTTGAAGTCCAAATTATTAGCCCCCCTTTAATTTCAGCTAGAATAAAAGCAGTTATTAATTTTTTAAACACAATTTTAAGGACAAAATTATTAGCCCCTTTAAGCTAATTTATTTTCCAAACCATCGTTATACAATAACTTGCCTAATTACCCTAACCTGCCTAGTTAACCTAATTAACCTAGTTAAGCCTTTAAATGTCCCTTAAAGCTGTATAGAAGTGTCTTGAAAAATATCTAGTCAAATATTATTTACTATCATCATGACAAAGATAAAATAAATCAGTTATTAGAGATGAGTTATTAAAATTATTATGTTTAGAAATGTGTTGAAAAAATCTGCTCTCTGTTAAACAGAAATTGGGGGGAAAAATAAACAGGGGAACTGACAATTCTGAATTAAACTGTATATATACAGTATAAAACTGTGTGTACCACAATTTAGAATTATTTAAAAATATTTATTGCTCAAAGTCCATGTGATAACAAAATGTACAATGTTAATCCATCACCAACCCGATTTCCCCAAGTAGGATATATTCCTGAATTAACATATATGTTGATCCTGGAACAAAGGTCTAATCAGCCAATCATCCAGGTTCTAATCAGCCATTTGCCTCTGCATTTAGAGTGACAGTCCTTCTCTGTTGACATCAGTTTTACACTAAGTATCACTTCAAATTCTTAACCACGCCCCTTTCACCTCTTTACTAAAAGAAAATGATATGCAAAAATAACCCGCCCCCAACTCATTGTTGTGCTCCAGCTGGTGCTTCAACATACTAAAATAAAAGTCTCAGCAACTTCTGTTGTTAATGGACTTTAATGCTTATTAATACTTCATCATATTCATCTTATTTAAATTATTTAATAAATGAATTGATTGACTAAAGAAAATCTGCAGAGATTCTGTACATTACTGTGCCGGTAAGTTTTAGAAGCTTTGACTACAGTTTTGGTCTGCTGGCTAACCTTATCCATGTCATTGTGTTTTAGGGGAGCGCTGGTAATCATCGGGAATATGACAGTGGACACAGACTTTGTAAGCGCCGGAGTGGAAGTCGGTTTTGAAACCGAGGCCACGCTGGACTTCATCACCACCGTCCAGTTCTCAGAGTACCCCTTCCTCGTCTGCATGCAGATGGACAAAACCACTTTCCCCTTCAGGTATCTATCGCACTTTAAACACAGAGAACCAAATTTTAGAGGAACGATCCACTTTTTTGGAAATAGTCTCATGTTAAACAATCAAACATTTTTTAATCCATTCAGCCGATCTCTGTGTCTGGCAAGAACACTTTTAGCTTAGCTTAGCACAAGTAATGGAATCAGATTGGACCGTTAGCATCTAGCTCAAAAAATACAAAAATATTTCAGATCATTTTCCTATTGAAAGCTTGACTCTTCTGTATTTACGTTGTAAAATAGGACCAATGGAAATGTAAAAGTTTATATTTTCTAGGTCGATATGGCTTGATTATTTTGCCAAAAATTAAGTATAGTCCCTAGCCATATCAACCTTGAAACTAGCAACTTTCTATTTCCATCAGTCTCTGTACATGACGTAGCTATACGCTTGTTAAAGCTGATGTCACGCAAAGCAGCTTCCGGATCCAAGTGCTCTATCAAACTGTATGGCCAGGGTCAATAAATGGTAATAATACTGTAAATGTTTACAAAGTGCTGTAATACTTTTGAAAATCACAATCGCAAAATATATATATATACTGTATATATATAACCATGTCTAATATCAGAGGCCAGAAAGTGATAAAGTTTTTTATATATTGTTAAAATATTAATGTCTGTAATGCTGCAAGTCCAGAGGTTGTTGTGTACACCATGACTTTATAAAAAATATTGGAATTTTTGATCAGGATGCTAATGGTCTAATCCGATTTTATGATCTATGCTAAGCTAAGCTAAAAATACTTCCGGATACTGGATTCAGTTAAAACTTTAACTCTAGTGGATCTGTAACTGAGCCTATTTCCTACATAAAAAAAGAGGAGTGTGATGAACAATTTAAATCAACAAAACTGACCTGTACTGAATTTGATGTTCTTCAGAGAGACGGTGTCCAAGCAGGAGAAGCTGCCAACGGGACAGATGTTCTCCAGAAAGAGGAGCAGAGATCAGGTGGTGCCAGGCTCAGAGTTTCCTCTACACCAGGAGAACTCCAACATGTGCAAGAAAGTCTTTGAGCCGGCCTGGTAAACTGGAACCAGCAAATGCAAAAGGCTTTCACACAGACATCTACTAAGTGTGTGTGTGTGTTTAAGGTGGCTGTAGGTGCGAAAACCTCAGACAAGGTTGTGCATACGCTGTAAAAACTTTTACAGTTTCCATTGTGATTCACAAAAGGTTTCCATTTATTTATGGTTGTGAATTGCAATATGGGATGTTGATCTCTGCTCTGTCGACTTTTGATGTCATAAAATCAACTCTACAGTTTAACAAAGTGACTTTTAACGATATTTTAGCAGTCTGAAATAATATAATGCACAAGAAATAATAAATAATGAATAAAATAACAGAAAATGAACGTACTGGCAGATTATTACAAGGTTTTTGTAGCGTAAAACACAACATCAACCCAGACAATATATCACTTTAAACTATTAAAAATGTTAATAAAAGTCACTTTTTCCAACTTTTTGATGTTAAAAGTTGTTGGAAGAAAGATCAAGATCCTATAATGCAATTCAAAAGCACAAATAAACAGGGAAAAAATCAAATCATGAATCACAAAATACAGAAAACTACTCATTTACAGATGTTTTACAGCGTACTTAATAATAAAGGTTTAGAGTAACCAATATTTCATAGAATAACCCTTATTTTTCCAGTTAATTAACAGTTTCCATTGTGATTCACAAGTGTTTTCTGTCTATTTATGGTTGTGAATTGCAATATGGGATGTTGATCTCTGCTCTGTCAACTTTTAATGTCATAAAATCAACTCTACAGTTTAACAAAGTGACTTTTAACGATATTGTAGTAGTCTGAAATAATATAATGCACAAGAAATACTAAATAATGGGTAAAATAACAGAAAATGCGCTGGAAGTTTATTACAAGGTTTTTGTAGCATAAAACACAACATCAACCCAGACAATATATCACTTAAACTATTAAAAATGTTGATAAAAGTCACTTTTTCCAACTTTTCAATGTTAATAGTTGTTGAAAGAAAGATCAAGATCCCATAATGCAATTCAAAAGCACAAATAAACAAGAAAAAATGGTAACACTTTACAATAAGGTTCATAAGTTAATGCATTTACTAACATTAATTAATCATGAACAACACATGTACAGCATTTATTAATCATAATTGAACATTTACTAATGCGTCATTAACATCCAAACTCATGCTTGTTAAAATTAGTTAATGCACCGTGAGTTAACATGAACTCACAATGGACATCTCATTAACTATTGTTAACTAACATGAACAAATACTGTAGGAAATGTATTGTTCATTGTTTGTTCATTGTGTGTTAGTAAATGCATTCAGTAACATTAACTAATGAACCTTATTGTAAAGTGTGACCGAAAAAATGAAATCATGAATACCAAAATAAGGAAAACTGCTAATTTACGCATATTTTACAGCGTACTTAATAATAAAGGTTTAGAAAAAACAATATTTCATAGAATAACCTTAGAAAACCCTTACTGTTTTTCTTAGTATCATTTTTCCAGTGTAAAGAATCTTTTTTAGCAATTAAAAGGTTCCATTATTGAACTTTTCTTTTTAAGAGTGTACTATAAGAGTCTTAACAATAGGCCCATTTTCTCCATTAAAGAATGATTAGCATTGATGAGAGGAATGTATGAAAAGGTTGTCAGGATAACCAACGGCACTCTCGCTATCGGAAAGAATTATAGTCATAGATATTCCACTTTAGTTTTCCTAAGTTATAACGTCATAGCATTATATCAGGACTGTGTATTTGAGGTGCTACTGTGTTATTTATTTAATCAGAGGGCTTTCTGACACACTTCTTCCCTCCACGGGCAGTTCGCGCTGTCTGGTTTCCATGATCACACCAGATGTTTACATTCTTGAGAATATTTATGGCAGTCTTGTACATGGGAAGATAATCGACCATGAATAAAGATTTTGTGTTTTTTTTTTTTTTTTTTGGATTTCCTTTTTGGTCATCTTTTTGGTGTAAATATAAAAATATAATTGGTGGGATTTACTGTCATGTCCCTTTGCTTGTTTGGTGTCTATCATTTGTACAGAATTTGTGTCTAAAATGTCCACTGAGGCTTCATTAAAGTGACAGTTCAGCCAAAAATGAAAGTTCTGTCATCATTTGCGCTCCCTCTTGTCGTTACAGACCTGTAAATCTTTCTTTATTCTGTGGAACATAAAAGAAGATCTATACGTTTAGAAAAATAATGGTAACTCGAATTAAATAGTTGACACAAGGACACAAAGGTGAATAGTAAATAATGACAGAATTTATTTATTTTTTGGTGGAATATCACTTTACATTGATAATAGATTAATTAAACAAGTAATTAGTAAGCTTTTTTTTTTAAACACAGGTCTGAATTAATATCTGTTTTAGTTTTTTAAATAATTTACCAATCGGACAGATAAAAACTTTTTATTTATTCTATTTTGTTTAAATTTATTGCTGTAGGAAATGTGTAAGAACATAAACCGATAAATAAATGGAATTTAATTAAAATGGACTTTACCTGACAAAAGTCTTGTCATCGATCCCAGTTGTAAGAGCAACAGATAATAACTTGACTTCTAGTTGACCATTTGGAAAAGTGGCAGAAGGGAGATTTTTCCGATGAATCATCTGTTGAACTGCATCTCAATCATGATAAATATTGCTGACGACCTACTGGAACCCGCATGATTCTCACAGAAATTAGTCCAGTTTGGTAAAGGAAAAATCATGGTTTGGGGTTACATTCAGTATAAGGGGGTGCGGGAGATCTGCAGAGTGGATGGCAACATCAACAGCTTGAGGTATGAAGACATTTGTGCTCCTCATTACTTTACAAACCACATGAGAGGGCAAATTCGTCAGCAGGATAACACTCCTCCTCATACTTCAGCCTCCACATCAAAGTTTCTAAAAGCAAAGAAGGTCAAGATGCTCCAGAATTGGCCAGCCCAGTCACCAGACATAAACATTATTGAGCATGTCTGGGGTAAGATGAAGGAGGAGGCATTGCAGATGAAGCCAAAGAATCCTGATGAACTTTGGGAGTCCTGCAAGAATGCTAATTAGGTGCTGTCAATCAGACAACGCTTCTAGGTTTGTTCTTGCAGTCAATTGTGAAAAAGATTATTGCTAAAAGTGTCATGATAACCGCTGTGAGTTTAACTGCAGGCTCTGAGTGATGTGCGTGTACGCGAAGGGGAATCAGATTTGTCCGAGGAGTTAGATTTTGATACAACTTTCCTTCACCTCTTCTTGCAGGTGTGCTCACGTGGTTTGCACTATGCACTGGTCTCTATTAACTGAATTAGAAGGAGCATTCAGTTGTGTTTTGTTAAAAAGGTTTCATATGAAATATACATTTGAAAACCGCCCAAATTTTGTCAAGCCACCAATGACATTTTTTACCCACACAATCAAATTCAAAACCGTCCAACCTGGCAACACTGGTCAGGTGCAGGGGCTTCCGTTTTAATGGTAACAGGTTGGCAGGACACTGATAGCTGCCAGACTGAAAAGTCTGCTTATGTTCACCTCTACAGAACCAAATCAACCCCTCCCCTTCACCTATAAACCGGTTATGATCTCCAGAAGAGATGCATTATTGTTTTTCAGCGTGTTTTGGATAGTTTTTGGGCTGGAATTAGTCAGCTACATCTGGCAACACTGTTGATAACTGCTATGTAATCTACAGAAGGTCTGTCGATTTATAAATTAATTTTTATATAAATAATTAATATAATTAATATTATATAAATTAATATAAATTAATCATTTTTAATATTTTAGATTTTTTTATTTGTTAATCTAAAATTTAGCATATTGTTTATTTTTAGCATATTAATTTAGCATTTATTAATTTATTAATTTAGCAAATTTGGAGTTCACTACTGTTGGACTTGTTTGGCATTTGCTTGCATTTTAACTGGATGGCACAAAGAAGTCAAATCGTTGCCAATTGTTTAGCTGTCAATATTATGGTAAGATGATTTTTTATGGTAGCAAAGCCTTTATAATTACTGATTTACAGTAATTTTCAAAGACCGCCTAAAATACAGCGATGTAAAATACTTAGTGGCATTTTTGGCCTTATAGGGCTAGTTTTATTGCAAAACCTGGCAACATCACTTTTTGTCATCAACCTCAATTTATTAAGTAAAAGAGAAAATTTGTATATTTTGCCAATAATTTTCTCCTCACTGTCAACGTCAATAAATAAAAACGACATCAGTCTGATTTAATTTGATCTTAGAATAAAAGGCAGCACAACGTGTACCACAGTATGAAGATTGTTATTTATATTTTCATTTTACAAAAGATTACTACAGATGAGGATTAATGTTGCAGGTCAAACGTTTAAAATAATAGCCGGAGTTCCGCTTGGTGGCGGCTGGCAACTGAAAACCAACAACTGCGCTCTGGCGGACATTCCTATCTCGCGGCGGGCAGCAGCTGAGCGCGCGTGTCTGTCACTGGCGCCGCTGCCATGGCGACGGCGTAAACAAACGCACAAACTGTCAGCTCGAGCTAATGCCTCGGGCGGGTGAAGTTTCAGGAGCTCGCGGAAAACTTACCTAGCACGTTGGCAGCACGTCAAAAGACCCTCTGCCAGCTGTGTAAATCACACGGGCCCCACAACAACAACTTATATACATTTTAAACTTTTTAAAAATTTTAATAGCCTGCTAATTATAGGCATTTTTAGAAGCAAAGGCTTCAGGGAACGCTGATTTAAACGGTCACTTTTGACCATTTGTGGCCGAAGCATCGACGTTTCCTCAGCTGCCAAATGTGGTAACTACAGTTGAAACCAGAAGTTTACATACACTGTATAAAAAGCACATAACCGTTTTTTTTTAAAGTCAAATGTTTATGTGACAAAATCTTTCCTTTCTTTAGGCAAGTTAAGATTATCCAATTTGTTTCTGTTATGCCTAATGGCAGAATAATGAGAGAGATATTTTTTGAGAAATTGTTATAACTTTTCTTGAATGACAAGTTTACATACAATAAGATTATTATGCCTCTGAAAAAGTTCAGATGATGGTGTCAAGGTTTTGGAGGTTTCTGATTGGCTAATTGACAATATTTGTGTAATTGGAGGCACAACTGTAGAATAGTATTTAAGGAAAACCTCAAACACACGGCTTCCTTGTGTAACAACATGGGAAAATCAACAAGCCAGAATCAACAAAAAAGTCAGATTACAATGTGCTAAATTACTCTGGGAAAAATAATATTTTTTGGAGACATGTCCTGTGGTCTGATGGAACTATTGAACTGTTTGGCCATAATGACCAGTGCTACATTTGGAGGACAACAGGGAAAGCTTA